TTGGTCACATGAATACATAGTCCAATGTTGCAGGCTCATGCAGCGTCACTTTCAGAGTCAAATTTATTTTTCATGTGGAAAGTCACTTTCTGCAGACGATCGCTATGTACAAGTAATGTTAACGATCAGAAGCAACCACTAGACACCTTGAAATTGTAGTCAAATAGGCCGATTGCTAGATGTTTACAGCTTTACAATGTGAGACGGAAATGTCTTTAAAGAGAGGGTTGATTCCCACTTAGACCGTTAACCATTGGTGGATTTGCCCTCAAGATATATCTTTAGATACACTATAGCAGTTCTGTTCTACACTCTTAGGCTGGGTTCACACCTGGGCGTTTTTCAGCGCTGATCGACGTGCAGAAAAACGCCCTACGCCCGAACAAGTACAGGAGCTTCTTTTGAGGCGTATTTCCGTGCATATCCATCGGTATTCCCGAGTGTGGCTCGGGGTTAACAGAGCGGTAACCCCGAGCCACACTCGGGGATCCAGCGTAGGGCTTGTACGCGATCCCCGCTGTGTCCTCCAGCCGCTGCCGTCTTCCGGGTTCCGTCCCTTGCGAGCGTCCGCGTCGCAGGGGGGCAGAACCGGCGGGAAGTTTAAAACGTTTTTTGTTTTTAAACGGAAAAAAAAGATAGAGAAAAAAAAAAGGATTTTTTTTAAAAATCATACCGCCAGGGAGGTTAAAAACCGAGCATCGAACGCGCGTTTCGGTGAACAAAAAAACGTGCTAAAAACGAGCCTATTTGGAATGCCCAGGTGTCAACCTAGCCTGAGTAGCAGGAAAACATTGTACGATGTTCAGCAGTTGATAGGGCAGCAAATATGAGCCTTCAGGTTACCTCTGACTCTCATGCTGAAGAGTCAGGATCAGACTCTCACAGCACAGCTAAATAGACGTGCACAGCTAAATAAGTAAGTAAGCACAGCTAAATAGACGTGCAATTAAAATCTTAAGTGAGCCAGCACCGTTATAATAATTCAACACTGCGTGCCCTGATCCATATGAGTTTTATTCAATTAGGTAAAGACTAGCAGAAACTTGGTATGAAAGTGCAATTCTAGCATGACTAAATCGTTTTTAAAGGCCTCCCAGCTGGTTTAAATGCAAAAAGCAGCAAACCTTGCAATACTCGTCTCTTCTACAGGACTGTCACCTACATTAATTTCCACCAATAGATGTCTTCAGTCTTCTGAGTTGAATGACACCTAGGGTCATTCATCCCAGAGACCTGAGGACATCCTGTGAGTGCAGGACATCATGGACCCTCCCCCCTGAGGGGTGATTAGCACAGCACTCTGCACGTACTGTGTAATGATACAAAGCACGAAGATAGAAAATACCACCAGCACACCGAAGAAAAATGTCTTTATTGATGCATTGGCCTAAGGATGGCAACATTTAGGGGTTGTGCAGGGTCTCTATATGAGGCTCAATACAAGGTCACATTTCTTCGGTGTGCTGGTGGCATCTTCTATCTTCATTGATCTTAGCGGCGCCATCAACAGTCATTTCAGCACCCATCTTCTAGGGGTATACCACTCAGGAGCGTGGTGGGCCACACAATGGACATGATACAGAGCATGGCACCAACATCATGATGGATTTGGGCCTTAAAAAAAATTAAGTCCCCAATAGCAGCTTTTGCTTTGGAAAATCTTTTAGGCAGACATCAAGCTTCCACTGTAAGCAATGACCGGAATACAAAAGTTTGTGGATACCTAAGCTGTAGACCTTGTTGGCCATCCTATTGCAAAACCATTGGTATTATTACAATGTTGGCCATCCTATTACAAAACCATTGGTATTATTATAAAGTTGGCCATACTATTACAAAACCATTGGTATTATTATAAAGTTGGCCCACCTTTTACAGCTATAACAGCCTCCAATGTTGTGCAAAGACTTCCCACAAGATTTTTGACTGCGTCTGTTGTGCCCATTCAGCCCAAAAGGCATTTGAGAGATCACGTAGTGATGTAGGTTTTTAATCAGCATTATGGGAAGAAGTGGTTTGTAATCAGTATTCCCGTCATTCCAAAGGTATTCAGTAGGGTTGAGGTCAAGGTTCTGTGCAAGGCCACTCAAGTTCCTGCACACCAAGCTTATCAAATCATGTCTTCATGGACCTTGCCTTGTGCTCCTGAATTCAGTAATTACAAGAGGTGTCTACATAGTTTTGGCAATATAGAGTATTCACTATGTATGATAATGTCACTTAGTTACCCTTCTTGTGTGCAGATATCAAGTCTGTTCATCATAGAGTCCGTCAAGCATGTGGGAGCTACATCATGAAGATACCGATTTGTTGCCTGTCTAGGCAAGCCATAAACTTATATTATGCTAAATATTTTTCAATCCCTCTGCCCACCATGAAATTCCTACCCAAGGTGCATTACAGAACAGGCCAGTTTTTTCCTTTGACTGATATGCAAACTGAATTCCAAATGAGTTATCAGCTTACATTTAGTCAGATTGCTGTCAGAATACATTTACAGCTCCCTCATTCCTAGTAAACACCTGTTCTAGAAGCCAGCAGGAAAACCCTTCGTCCTTTCTACAGCTATCCCTCTGTTGTGCTGGGCTCAGCAGCCATTAAAGGACGGAGCTTTGCCAGAACGATTGTTTAGTGAAGCTTGTGCCAGACTCTTTACTCACTGGGAAAACACAAGATGGCAAATTCAGAAAGTGAATAGATGGAGGATTTGGGGTCAGGTTGTTTTTCAAAGCTCAGCATTTATTTTTCTAATGGGCGCAGCCTGTCCTGCCGGCAGTTCAGAGCGACTGTTTGTCTCTCGGGTTTGTACAGAAATTGGATTCAGGGGGGATTGCAGCTGTTCTGCCTGCATGGAAATGACAATCTTTATTTTTAGGATTCATGACCAAAGATATTCAAACTAGGTAATTATTTAAGCTTAGTCTTGTTTAGAGAAACAATTTTATCCAATTTAGGGGATTAAAAATGTGATGCATGCATAATGCAAAAGTTGTTCCCTCATATTGACATATACTCCCCCTGTCCAAAAAAAAAAGTCACCACCTGGATTTAGCTAAAGAGAAAGGTCAGAGCCTTCCGTTGGATAATAGGTCTAGGTACAGCAACGTTATGTGCCAAAATAAATGAGGTCAGCTGCCTACCAGGATATACTGAATGATCCGGTTTTTCCATCAATGGATATTTTATTCCCTGATGGCACATTGGACATATTCCAAGATGACAATGCCAGGGTGCCAATTCATCGGGCACAAAAAAAGAGTGGTTCAGGGAGCATGAGACATCATTTTCACACATGGATTGGCCACCACAGAGTCCAGACCTTAACCCCATTGAGAATACTGGTGATGTGCTGGAGAATACTTTACACAGAGGTCTGACTCTCCCATCATCACTACAAGATCTTGGTGAAAAATGAATGCAACTCTGGACAGAAATAAATGTTGTGACATTGCGTAAGCTTATCGAAGCCAGGGCGAATGCGTGCCGTAATCAAAGCTAAAGGCGGTCCAATGAAATATTAGAGTGTGGGACTTTTTTTTTTTGGACAGGCAATGTATATTATTAAACAAAATACCAAACCTGCTGTCATGTTCTTTTTTTCCAATGGTGCACTGTCTCAATGTATGACTACTGTAAAACAATAAGTTTGCTCAATGTGTTTACGGTATCCGTACACAGGTAGATTATCCGCAAATAAAGATTATCGATTTTTGTATCGATTTTTGGATTAAAGTGACCAGTGTGGCTGTAAATACTGGGCTGTGTTCCCAATATTGATTTGAACTCAGGAAGCCACTTGGATGAGTGGTGAGAGGTCTTCAATGTAAGTGAATGACTCCAGTTGGAAGTGACTATCTACTACTTGCTCTCACTGAAATTTTCCTCCTAGCCTATTAGGTTGTCTCTTTGCCACTTACTATTCCGTAGGAGACCTAAGCCATTGATCTACAGCTTTCCTTTATTCTACTGTTCCGTTACATGCCATCATTGCCTGCAAGGCTTGACCCCTGTAATGAAGCACTATGTAAGCTTTAAATTAAGTAACTGTACTTGGGGGAGGGGGACACAATAATACTTGCAAAATGAAGTCTACTTAATATGGTTTTACTTGTACAATCTCTTTAATGACTTAGACCTTTCCAAGCATGGCACTGACCCAGTTCTCTTACTTTTTCAGGAATTGATATTCTTAAGCTGGTGGCAGCTCAGGTTGGCAGCCAGTGGCAAGAGATCTACCAGTACTTGTGTAATGCCAACGAGCACGAAGTAGCAGCCTTTTTCAATGGTTACACTGCAGATCACGAGCGGGCCTACGCAGCCTTACAGCACTGGACCATCCGAGGCCCTGAAGCCAGCCTGGCAAAACTCATCAGTGCTTTACGCCAGCACCGGCGCAATGACGTGGTGGAGAGGATCCGTGGCCTCATGGAGGCTACTGTACAGGTATGGTAATTAATATTTCTATTACTTCCATTTTATAGTTACGCTTGTCAACCTTTTGGATCCATTTCTCTTGTCAAGTATGGAATGTCTTGATCGTTTTTAAGTGTGCATTCTCCCTCAGACTGGCTGGATCCTGAAGTCTATCCAGCCCTCCCCGTGATCCAATGTAGATTTTTCATCCCTATAAGAAATTCAAAGGGCCAAGATTGCAATGATTGCGTGTTACTTAAAGGTGAACTGTGAGGTGAGTGATTTACACTCATCCTCATAGTTAGAGCCGACGTGTGACATTGAAACTGTTACACGTCGGCTCTATAGAAGTGAGCGAACACATATCGTCGCTCGCTAACTTCACGATCTCCATGTCAGTCACGGCTCCCCGCAGGTATTCCTCCCCTCTCCGATCCTCCAGCGCTTATTGGCGGAAGGGGCGTGGCAGGGGGCGGGCACAGCTGGCTCTGCCTCTAGTTTGACAGTGGCTCTGCCTATCAGCCAGCTGGTTGGATCTCAACAGTATTGTCTGGATCCGTCCCAGCTGCGGGGTTCTCAGTAGATAGCAAGCTCTAGCCTGCTATATACTGAGCTTTAAGCCACAGGAGGAGGTCAGTATATGTCTTCCCGTGACCCTAAAGAGAACTATAGGATAAAAAGATTACCCCATAGTTCTCTTTTAAATTTATATTTTTTAAACACTAGTTGAACGCATGTTAAATAATTTTACTGGCTGACTCATTACTCGTTGATTAGTTGCCAATGCAGAGTCATGGTTGGAGGACAACTTTAAGAGAAGATTTTGAACTTTGCATATATCTTCATTTGCACATATCGCGGGATCTACTGAACTATCTGCACTGCACTGCCACTGTCTGTCACTAATAGTAACCTCTGTTTATGCATTTTCATGATATACTCATTTTGAATTTCTCAGGTTGACTTTTAAGCTACATAGTAGCAGTCAAAACATATATACAGGAATAATCCAAGGCATGAACAATCAGAGGTCAGACAGACATACGGACCTCTATTCAGGGCATGAACTAACAGACAACCAAGGCATTAATTGGATGTTCTGAGTTCCCATTAGGGCCTCGTTCACACCAGATGCAGTGCGTTCCGGCCCGATTCTGGCCAGAACGCACTGCCTCGCATTGCGGCCGGCTCACTTTTTTGTGGGACAGGAGGGGGCGTGGCAGTTAATTGAAGTGAATGGCACCGTAGCCACGCTCTCCGGCCGCACTGCGATTGGCCGCACTGGATCGCAAGGCACATTATGCCTGTAGTCCGGTTCGGTGCGAACAAAATAGTGCGAGGCCCTAAGGTGATTAATGAGGGTCGGGTGTGCAATGAACGGACCTGTCCTACAGTGCTTAGTAACATCTAGCACATGGTGAATGCTCCAGGCTGATTGTTGCAGAGAACCTAAAGGTGGCCGTACACCTTGCGATCATCGGCCAAAACTTTTCGTCCGATCGAACCGTCGTACGATTGTCGTACGGCAGCCCCATCATGCCCCGATTATCGCAAGGTTCAATTAGCCGTAATTAAAGAAAAGCACCTGGACAAATCACGGTAATTGACCGCACGTATTTTCGTTTGCGCATGAGCAGTGTAGATCATACGATTTTTGACGTACGGAAACGCCACCAACCTTGTGAAGATTGTACGATCGAGCGAAGTTTTCAAACCTGCTTGAGAGTCAAAAGTCGTACGATTGTACAGTGTTTGCGGTTGTACACTGCCCACGCACCTTGCGATTATCGGACGAAAACGCGATCGCATACAATTATCGTAAGGTGTATGGGCACCTTAAGGCAAACCACAGAAAAAAGAAATGAATAAGCTACAAACATGTTTGTCTTGAATGCACTGTTTAACAGGAAAGGTGGTTCACATTGGGTGTCTTGCTACTTTAAAGGATTGCTTGCAACATTAGAGTCTCTTTGTATGTTTGTCATCGATGGGGATCAGTCATTTAGCAACTGGAGGGTGGCAGGGAAACCTGGTCAGGCATCTGGCTGTCATGGCGGTGGGGAAAATTGTAATGCAGTGGGGAAAGATCATTAAGCTGTCAGCCGTAGGCACATATGTGGCCGTACTAGGTGGGCCTTATTCCGTGCTGCCACATATATGCGTTGTTGTTATGTGTCACTGTAACCATGCTATCACGTACAGCTTCCTTTCCTGGCCACCCTGGCTGCATGCCAGGATAAGGGTTCCGTTTGAATATTATAGGGAACACCATTCAGGGACAATACACATTTATTGGTAAAATATGGCATGGGGTTCCCCTTTAATATCCCAGTGCTGTGTTAGTGCAACATTTTTAATTACACTTTCCGGTGTTCTATCAAACTTTGTGACTGCGTTTGAATGTGTGACTGATAATACGAAGGCTGTATGACGCATATGGCGATTCAATAAAAAGTGCTTTACTTCTTGCACATATCATCGAGTGCTGGTGACTTCTATTATAGAATGTGTGACCGGTGACGTGGTCACACGCTTTAACGTAATACCGCCCAGTTTTTCGGCGGTGGAATGTGTTACTGGTCATGTGGTCACACATTTTAACGTAATCCCGCCCAGTTATTCTGCGGTAAAATATATGACCGGCAAAAGGTGAAGAATTCCAGCTGTTCCAGGGCTGATCGGCATCTCAGATCATATGTGCAGGAGAACCGATCTGCCCTGGAGCAGCTGATCGGTCCTGAAATGTCACTTCTATCCGACTTTGTGACTGCGTTCTCACATCCCACAAAGTCGGATAGAAGTGAGATTTCAGAATCGATCAGCTGTTCCAGGGCAGATCGGTTCTCCTGCACATAGGATCTACGATGCCGATCTGACCCTGCAACAGCTAAGAAAGCATTGGAATGCTTCAGTTTTTTGACGGTCACATATTCCAACGCCAAAAATGTGGGTGTGATTACTTTAAAATATGTGACCACATGACCGGTCACACATTCCAACCCAGTCACAATCTTTGATAGAACACCGGTATCCAGACCAATTGCAGTAAAAACGATTCTTTCTAGATTCCCCCACCCCTTTAATTCTATTTCGGAATACACATCTTCTGTATTTCACCAGAACACAAATCGTTACATTTGTATACACAGAACACTTTTCATTCTGGGTTTTTGTCCCCGTCTATCAATACTGCAGCTCCCAGGAACCTTATCAGACCTCCTCTATGTAACCAGTGACATATCTGTATCAATATTCCAAGGATTGTCTTATTTCAGCGTAGCTCCTTCCTGGCACGCTGACATTGAATTCGATATCGTGTGATATGTTATCTTGCTCCCTGCTGAAGCTGTTGACATATTGGTAAGCCAAACTCCCTTGATGCGAGGTCTCCATGGTTCGTAGACCAGTATGGCCTCATCCCACATTTTACAGATGATGGGATTTGGTGAGAGTCTTAGACATTTATTTTTATTCACGCACAGTATGTCACATTTTACATGTAGTATTTCTATTGATTTTTATTTCTAGTTGGGTGAGCACGGATCAGAATATGCAATGGCATGAGAGGAAAATCTCAACCCTTATTCTTGATCGCCGAATACAGTCCTTATAATGTGGCAGGGACGTCTCTAGTAGGGATGTCCCGATACCATTTTTTAAGACCAAATACTGTCCCTCATGTACTTGCCGATACCAATTACCGATACTTTTTCTTAAAGGGACATGTAACATTTTTTCTAAAACAATACATCCTAATGATTATAGGGCAGTTTCTCACCAGGGCTGCGTTTGCGTGTCACTAGGCTGCGTACAGATTTCACCAGGGCTGCATTTGCGTCTCACCAGGCTGTGAAGAGATCTCACCAGGGCTCCGTTTGCGTCTTGCCAGGCTGTGTACAGATGTCCCCAGGCTGCATGTGATGCTCTGCGGACGGACACCGAGCTGAACGATCGGGCACTGGGCTGAAAAATCAGGTGCTGATCTTCTGCCATCTCCGGGGCTGTTTGTTCAGTGTGGGGCTGTCCTTGGATGTGCCTGCGACGGGAAGGAGGAAAAGGAGATATGTGGCTGGACAGGCACTGCCAAGGACAGCTACCGCCAGGTCCGCAGCAGGCTGCTGAGGTCCCCACAAGCACGGTACTTCAGCAGCCGATCCGTTTAAGGCCCCGTTCACACTTAGCGATTTTATCGCGCGGTAATTCCCGCGATATCGTTCAATGCTTGGCAATGGTGCAAAGGGTCCTGCTGTCGCGGGTCTTCCGTCGCTACAGCAGGACCCTTTTTGGAGCGGATTTTGCCGGGATTCCATTCTTTGCAATGCAAGCATTTGCGCAAAATGCAAATCGCGCGACAAACGCGCGATTTGCAAATCGCGCAGTGTGAATGGGGTCTAAAAATGTATAGGGCCGGTATCGGAGCATTCTCAGGAGTACAAGTACACCTGAAAAATGCCCAGTATCGGTATCGGGACATCCCTAGTCCTTTCACTGCCAGCAGAAGGTGTGTGTGTGTGTGTGTGTGTGTGTGTAGGGGGGTTAGGGGAGGGCCTCTACCAGTGTCCCGGTCATGCCCGTTCTCATATGCGCGTGGAAAAAATGCAATTGCTCGGCCGTGTTTGGAGTCCCATTACCTACAGCACAAGCGTGTTTTGCGTTTGTGCACGTATCATGAATGCGCATGGTTGTGCGCACTTTTCTGCACATTTAACGTGTGTTCGCCATACACCCTGGTGTGAACAGGGCCTTATGCGGGCCCACACAAAAAAAAACAAGAAAAGTGCCTTTCCCTCATGTGATGTTACAACAATAAACTTTATTTTAAAGCATAAAAATCTACTCTCATTAGGTTGACAGCAACATGCATCAAAACAGCAGAGTAGGCGCTAGGCTGGTACCGCATCCGAGTCTGATGGTGACCGCAATGAACCTTGATGTACAGATAACCAGCTAACATACGTTGACTGTCCAGTTTGCAATGATATTATGGCTTAATGCATTTTCAGGGACATGCCCCCTTCACCAGAGCCCCA